GTGTGTGTGTGTGTGTGTGTGTGTGTGTGTGTGTGTGTGTGTGTGTGTGTGTATATATATGTTTAAGTGCACACGTGTATGGAGTGCTGAAGCCAGCTCCCGTTAGAGGAGGGTGCCATTAAGAGCGTGTTTACGACGTATTCCTGCTTCCCGGCACAGCGGCGACGACTATTTATGTTCGCGTGCGCGGCACTTGCAGATGGCGGCGGCACGCGCGCAATTTATGTAGCGCAGTGTGTAGCTGCTGCTACTGGTGTTGCTACTGGTGTTGCTGCTGGTGCTTGCTACTGGTGTTGCTGCTGCTGCTGCTGCTTGTGGTGGTTGTGCTGCTGCTTGTGGTGGTGCTGCTACTGGTGTTGCTGCTGGTGCTGCTGCTGGTGCTGCTGCTGCCGCTGCTGCTGCTGGTGGTGGTGGTNTTAAAAATAAGCACATGCGTTATTGTTAATATCTTTAATTTTGAACCTCAGACTGCGGACTCCCGTGTTGAAAAGTTGATTTCTACCCCTGCTAGTATATATATATAGCGAACACATTTTGTCGATATTATATATATACGCAGCAAACGTTGCTCTTTCACGTCGACACCCGCCCACCACCGCCGACACCGCCGACAACCGTGCTAGCTTAGCCCGACCTAGCTCTAGAACTACACATTATAGCCTTGGCTTTGCCACAGGCAGTGCCTGTGCCTGTGACTGTGCCTGTGCCTGTGGCGTAGCGAAGGGCTAGAGCCAAGCCCGACCTAGCTCTACTACTATAGTACTGTAGCCCGCGTTGCCACCGAGCTACGTATACGGCCATTATCCATACAACCTTAACCACTTAACCACTATAACACACTGCACCACACAACCTGTGGCAGTGGCAACGAGGGCTATATAGTAGCTATATATAGTATATATAGTGATCCTCGACCGAGCTGGGAGACGTCAATATGCACGCACGCACGCACGCACGCACGCACGCACGCACGCACGCCTCTCCATGCATGGTTGTTTGTTGAAGCTAGCGTTGATCGTGTGTTTGTGTCGGCGTCTGTCAATCATATTAAACCGCGCTCGAGCCTCGAAGTGCCTGCCTCCCCCGTTGCTTGTAAAGCCGGGCGCACACGTGGCGATTTTTATCGCTAGCACTGGCGATTTTGTTGCCAGCAACACGTAACAGTTACACGTTTCCCGTATTATGCAATTCTCTGCCATTCGCGTGGCTCCAAGCAAATTTAAAGGCCGTACATCAAAATACGATGTGTGTGCGTGCGTGCGTGAGTGCGGGCGTGCGTGCGTGCGTATGTGTGTGTACGTGTGTGGCGTGTGTGTACGTGTGTGTGTGTGTGTTCGCGCGCGCGTGTGTGTGTACGTGACTGTGTGGCGCGTGTGTGTACGTGACTGTGTGGCGCGTGTGTGTGTACGTGACTGTGTGGCGTGTGTGTGTGTGTGTACGTGACTGTGTGGCGCGTGTGTGTGTACGTGACTGTGTGGCGCG